TCTTTCGAAAACAGTAAGGAAAAGAAATGGAAACATGCGACAAGCTATAGTGGAAATAAAAAATAGGATAATATTAGTATTGTTAGTCATATTAGGTTATATGTTTGTAAGCTTTAGACATATGTACTGCTTGAGTTTCGCCATTTGTGTTTGGTTCTTTAAAAACTCTGCAACCCTGCTCTCAGTTTATCCTCTCTTTTTTTATTCTAATATACATTTATTTTGGAGTAATAGACTTTGGAGGATGCTATATATTATAAGAATATTGAAGTGAATAAGCTTTTGGAGAAACACGGAGTTAATCCTTTGGTGAGTTATTGCATTATTCATCTGACTTTTTCCCCATTAATGATACTTATCTTGAAACCATTTGCCGAGGGTCTTATGACCATTGTCCACTCTATTATTGGTTAGTACTTGAGCTGTTATGGTACTTCTTGTTGCAACCATTTGTGTATTATTGGCTGATGTTTCTATTATATTAATTCAGCTACACAAAATATTGTTGCTGGACCATCAACGAAGGACAAGAGAGTCGGTAGAGCTGCTTCCTTCAATACCATTCCTAGCAGCGTTGGAGCTGCTAGGATATATGTTATGTTAATTTTTAGATTTTCATATATTATATTTGACTAACATGAAGCAAGTGCATTGAAGTTCAAATTATAATGTAATTTGTTTAAACACTATTTGTTAATAGAGAGCCAATTTACAAAGGATGCCATCGAACTAACTGTCGACATTCATCCAAGACTATCATATTATTATTATCATTATTATTATTATTACAAAATAAATTGGGAGCCCATTTACAAAACCGGAGGCCCAGATTCAGATCCAGACCCGGCCCAAGACCCGATTCAGATACTTCTAGGGTTTTCTACTCATCTTCTCCAGGTGCTCCAACCAGATGCTGCCACGCCTCCACAAACTTGACGGAAGACTCCAGAAGTCGCAGGAGAACCGCACACCTCGCCCTATGGTGAGTCACCATTGTAGATCCGGTGACTCACCAAAATGAACGGTTGTTTGAAGCTTCCTGAGGTCTATAAAAAGCCTTGAAAACCTGCAAGAGAAAGGGAGAGGAAGATACGAACGAAGAGATAGAGGGGAAGAACGACAAGAACTGGAAGAGAGCAAGCAACACCAACGAGCAACAAATAAACCGAAAGGAGAAGAAGGAGAGGAGACTTACCGAGAAGCTCAAACGTCGTCGGAAACCTTCGTTAACCGAAGGTAAAATCTTAAATATAGGCCCATTAAAAAGCTTTTAGAAAAAAGGAGGGTGATTTCGGCTTTAGGGTGTTTCGATCTACATTTTGAGCTATTTTTCTTTTTTTTTCGTCGTGAATAGTGAACGGAATAGTAATCAGTGGCGATGAATAGTGACTGGCGGTAGCCGGAATAGTGACTGACCGTGGCCGGAATAGTGACCGACCGGTGGTCGGAGCTCCCTCCGGTGAGGGAATTTAGAGAGAAGGGAGAGATTCTCTCTCCTTAGAGAGAGAAGCAAAATAGAAAAATGAGAAGAATTAAAGATGTTAGGCCTATTTTGGCTTATTTATACCCAAATCAAAACTACGTCGTTTTAGGGAGGTAGTGTTTGTGTAATTTCATTATGAGAAAACCCTTTTCGTGGTTCCTTAAATTTGTAATAGTTTCAAATTGGTCACTAAAATCATGTTTTTGTGCCTTTTAATTTGGACTTCGCATTTTGTTTTATTTATATTTTAGTTTCTGCTAGTATTTATATATATTTAGGGTAAATATTAGATTTAATCCATTAGATTTTAATATAATTTATAATTTAATTCAAATATTATTTAGGGATAAATTACACTGTTAATACCTATATTTTATTATATTTCGAATTAGGGCTATTAATTTATATATTTTTGTAAATTAATCTTATTTTTAATTTCTTTTATTTTGGTCACTATTTTATTTTATATTTTATTATTACTCCTTTATTTTTCAATATTTTTAATTTAGTATTTTAATTTTTATCCCCTATATTTTTAATAATTTTTATTTTAATTCCTTATAATTAATTATGATTAAATTACTATTAATACTTATATTAAATGTTTTGTTTATTAATTACAGATGTTAGGTGATAAAAATTATATTATATAAAATATATTGATAATAAAATCAACATGGGAATAGTATGTTATTAAAGCTATTCAACTACTCTTCACTTTTTAAATTATTAGTCACGCATAGTAATGTATTCAAAGATGATTTTGTTTAAAATATATATATATTTACTTTATTAGAATATATTTTATTATTAGTCACACACATGTAGTAATGTATTCAGCATGGGAATATATTGGTAATTATTAGTCATGTTAAAAAAAATATTTATATATTTACTTTATTTAAATTAATTTTTAGGAAAAATTATCATATTCTTATTAATATTTATTTTTTATATCAAATAAAAGGGCTGTCTTAAAGTAACTAGATGTCATTTTATGATATTTTTAAATAAATAAATACCATATTTATAAAACACTACAAAATATAAATATTTACTTCAGTTTTATAAAAATCATTTTCTTTAGAATTATCTGATTGGATCTGAAATAATAAGATCATAAATTAAATTTATATTCGAATTCTTAGATTTTCACTACTAGAGACAATTTTATAATCAATGGGTACCCATTTTGGGCGTTGTGGGGGTGCTAATCATTCCCCAAACGTAACCGACCACGAATCCCTAAAAAGAATGAATTTTTGGTTATACACAGACCAGTTTATCTTTTAACTGATGTTTTCTTAAAAACTCTCTTAAAAGGAGATTTTGAGGTATTCGATTTACCTAACTTAAAAAGGTCGATGGCGACTCTAAAACATTTCCTTAAAAAACCATTTATTTCATTCACATATTTTTTTCGCCAAGGAAATTCGTGCCCGGGCGAAAACCGGTTCCGACAGCTTGGCGACTCTGCTGGGGACCCTGGTCAAGCCTTAAATTGATTATATATTGTCTCTATAAGATAGAATTTGAGAATTCATATTTATTTAATTTACGATTCTTTTGATTTCTTTCAATTAATTTTTTTATTATTTTATTATTTATATCCTTATATACGAACATTTATTTTTCATTAATTTTCAGATATTAGGATTCATTTTTTAATGGTTGTTTGACAAGGTTTGAGAGTTTATCCTCACACAACACGTGCATTGCATAAACATAAGCTCTATAATCGAGCTCTTTTCCCTTTTAAGTGGGAGTGAAAGAGATGTCTTCGTGAGAATTTATTCTCCGTGTCAGATCAGCAAGTACCTTTCGGGGTTCATATGCTCTATGGTTCATATGCTTAAGTCTGTAATGGATTAGGATTGAGGGTTTGGTAGTCCAAGGGGTCACCGACAATGACAATTCGAGTACCTTTACTCTTAGAGCCGAAACCTTGCATATAATAAACCATAGAAATTCACCCAATCTAAGACAATATTGAAGATCTGTACGTAAGTGTACAAAAAGGAGAAATAAGCTCTAACTTTTCTTTTCATTTTTTTGAATAAATGCATGCGAACTAGAAATCATACGGTTATGTTAATTTTTCCAAACAAAACATGGAACTAGAAAGCATGATGTTAGACTTTATATATAAATATCGTGATAAATAGAATCTTTTATTTCCATTAATTGGTACTAATCATTTTATTATTATTTTTTCTTATATATTTTGTAGATACATTTTATTGTGCTCTAACTTTTTTGTATTAATTTCTTTTGTTTGCATTGCATGATCATGACATGATTAGAAGGTATTGATTCAAGAGTGAACATCAAATTAAAAAATTTTTATATATGGAAAAAAAGTTTTATGATCAAACAAAATATGACGCTGCTAAGGAATTACATCTCGAAGAAGCTCTAAAAAAATGGTAATTTGGCTGTTAAGAAGTTAGGAGTGAAATCTAACCCCTATATATAAAGTTTTGTTTAATGTACCGAAACTTTTGTGTTCAATGAAATTTGTTTTAAGATGATCACTCTTGATTAACACCTTTTTTCATACATACATTTAAATTTGTGTTATATTTGCATTATCATATTTATTTATTTAGCATTTTTTGCATTCATTTTCAAAACTTAAAATTAACAAAAAAGGTTTTTTTTTTCTTTTTCGGAGAATACTGGACACCTACAAGCATCCATATCATACTCGGAAAAAATAATGGATGATAAGATAGATCAACTCGAAAGGACTCAGCTTGAAATGCATGAAAGCTTCAAGAAAGTTTAGGAAGAAATGCATGAACAAATGATGAAAGCCCAAAATGATATGATGAAGAAATTTGTATTATGTTACAAGGAAGAAGTATGGATCGAGAAAATACTCCAACTGTTGCTACTACTGAAGAACCTTATGGGTTTTACACCAAGAACATATCATCTAAAAGCTCAAGCTATTGAGGAACCTTTGTATCCTCCAGGCTTTACACCACCTCATGTTAAGGCCCAACAAGGAATGGCTACTCAGTCAGGAAGAGTAAACATAAACTTACCTAGTGCCTCTATAAACCAAGAACAAACTGAAGATGTTCCTGATCTTGATGAAGAGCGTAAAAAACAACAAACCAAACAAGATGATGAAAAATGGAAACAATTAGCAGAGGAAATTAGGACTATGAAGGAGGACCCTAGCATATATGGATTTGAGGCTAAAGAATTAAGTTTGGTGCCTGATTTGGTGTTACCGCCTAAGTTCAAGATTCCTGATTTTGAAAAATTCGATGGTATGAAATGCCCCTCTGCTCATATCACAATGTTTTGCAGAAAAATGACAGGTTATATAGGGGATGACAAACTGTTGATTCATTATTTCCAAGAAAGCTTAACAAGTTCGGCTATTTGATGGTACAACCAGTTAAGTAAAGCTCATATTAAATCTTGGAAAGATTTGGCAAAATATTTTCTTGAACAGTATAAGCATGTAAAAGATATAAGGCCCAATCAATTGGTGCTGCAGAATATGGAAAAGAAATCCAATGAGAACTTCAGACAGTATGCCCAGAGATGGAGGGACATAGTTGTACAAGTGCATCCACCCATTGAAGAAGATGAGACAATTGTGCTCTTTGTGAATACTTTAAGGGCTCCTTTCTTTACTCACCTCATAGAGAATTCCTTCAAGAGCTTTGCTGACATTGTCACAGCTGTGAGATGATTGAAATGACAGTTAAGAGTGGGAAACTTGATAGTAGTGAATCTAGCAAGAAACCACTAATGAAAAAGAATGTGAGCGAGGTAAATAACGTGAGGAAATACGAATCCAATAACATCACGGTGTCTTGACCTCAGGATACAAGATCATCTATACAAAACCATGTCAGGCAAGGGATAAGAGAGCCACAGTTTGATCTAATTCCTATGACCTACAAGGAATTATTTCATATCTTGTATGATAAACATGTAGTGTCACCTTATCATATATCACCTGTGCAACCTCCATACCCTAAATGGTACGATACTAGCTTGCAATGTGAATATCATGCAGGAGCTCATGGACACTCTATTAAAAACTGTACGTCATTTAAGAAACTTGTTCAAAGTCTTAGAAATAGGAATGTCATCAATTTTGGTGACAATGAGAAACCTAATGTGGCCCAAAATCCATTGCCAAACCACACAGGTATGGGAATCAATGTCGTCAGTGAAGAAAAAAGAAATAAAATTATAATGGAAGTCAGTGAGGTGGAATCACCTATGTGTTGGGTGTGGAGTCAATTGATCAATGTTGGTCTGTTGAAGCCTAGTTTTCCAGTTGAAAAATTCAATAGTGAAAATACATGTCATTACCACTAATGTGAAGGACACGTTATACAACATTGTCCAGATTTCCGAGATTTGGTACAAAAGGTGATGGATGAAAAAGAAATGGAGTTCTTCAAGGAAGTATCAGAAGAAGAGGAAATGGATATTTGCACCTCTGAGAGATCACCTAGAGGGATCTACAATTTTGATTATCTTCTAATTGTTACACTAATGATTCACGTATCAGAGAAAATAACTCCAAAAGTGGTTATAATACCTCCATCTCCATTCCTGTATAAAGATGACAAACAAGTGCCATGGAAATATGGTTGTAAGATGGATGATATAGTAGAAAAGGATAAAGTAGACGAGGTTGGACATTTTACTCGAAGCGGAAGATGTTATTCCAAAGAACCTGAGAAGCAAGCTACCGTCGATTAAGGGAAAAAGGTTGACCTGCAGTCGAGAGAAGATGAACATGTCATCAATGAGCCAGTAACTGAGAATGAAGCTGTAGAATTTCTGAAATTTCTCAAACATAGTGAATACAATATTGTTGAACAATTGCATAAGTTGTCTGCTCGTATATCAGTCTTGGCACTTTTATTAAGCTCTAAGGCACATCAGAATGCCTTACTGAAAGTGTTAAATCAGACTTTTGTACCAAAAGAATTGTCAGTAAATAAGCTGGATAGGTTGGTCGCAAACATACAGGCTATCAATTTCATTTTTTTTTCTGAAGATGAAATCCCCTCTGGGATGAATTGTATTCCTAAAGCCCTGCATATCACGATTAAGTGCAAAGGACATATTCTATCTCGAGTGTTAGTTGATAATGGCTCCGCTTTAAATGTAATGCCATTAGTGACTTTGAAGAAACTACCAGTTGATAGCACACTCATGAGAAATAGTCAGAGCATTGTTCGAGCTTTTGATGGAACCAAAAGGGAAGTATTAGGAAAGATTGACATTCCTTTAACTATTGGCCCAACTACATATGAAGTGGAATTCCTTGTGATGGATATTATACCCACTTACAATTGCTTATTGGGGAGGCCTTGGATTCACTAGGCTGGGGCAGTTCCATCTACACTTCACCAAAAATTAAAATTTGTGATAGATGGGAGGCTGATATGTATTAATGCTGAAGAAGATATCATTACTTATGTCTCTACCACTGCTACATATATCGAATCAGATGAAAAAGCTATTGAATTTTCTTTTAGATCATTGGAGTTTGTTAATGCCACATTCGTTGTCGAAGGTAAAAAGATGCCCAAGTCTAGAATTTCGAATTGTACTAAGATGGAGCTTAAATTAACCCTGGGGAAAGGAGAAAAAGTTGGAAAAGGGTTAGGAAGTCACTTGTAGGGACCAGTTTATGCAATTTTCCCATCACTACGAAAGATCGATTCGGTTTGGGATATCAGCCGACTGTAAGGGGCAAACAGAGAAGCATTAAGAAGAACCAGGAAATGAGGAAAGTAAAATTATCTGGAGAAGATCTTAGCTGGGAACCAATGAATTTTCCACTATTGAGTAATAATTTTGTGTCTTGAGGACATATGTTCCGAGAAGATCAGTAAAACGAAGGGCTAATAGTTGAGGATGCTTTAAAAGAGTTGAGTATCAATGTCATATCAAATGATGAATCTTAAGAAAAGCCAGACTTTGAATTGAATAATTGGACTATGGAGGAATTACCTATAGTTTTTAAGTCTTTTTCAGAGTAATACACTAGAACTTCCTCTATTGCTTATACCCTGGGGCAATAGTTGATTTTGTGTAAAGGGTTAAACTATGTGTTTTTCTTTTTCAATAAAAGATGCATTCCAGTAATTTCACATGGCAAATATTTTCTATGCATTTTTATTATTATATGTATATATACTTTTGTTCATTTTCCTTTCAGGAACTCATATATCAATAACATGGATGTTGATGACACTGACAAGAAATTTGATTTTGAGCAGCCCATTTGTCAAGGGGAAGTTGAGTGTTGTGATAATGATGAGTGATGTAACTTACATTCCGAGCTGTTAAAAATGGTGGAAAAAGAGGATAAGCAAATTCTGCCTCATGAGGAACATACTGAGACCTTGAATTTGGGATCAGATGAGGATAATAAAAATGTGAAAATTTGCACTACTTTATCTGAAAAGCACGCCATAATTTGATTAATTTGCTTCGAGAATACAATGATGTATTTTCTTGGTCATATGAAGACATGCCAGGTTTGGATACAGAAATGGTAGTACACAAATTACCAATAAAGCCAGAATATAAGGCTGTTCAATAAAAGTTGAGAAGAATGAAACCCGAAATGCTGCTGAAAATAAAGGAAGAAGTAAAAAAGCAATTCGATGATGGGTTTCTTAAAGTGGTCAAGTACCCTGCGTGGGTGGCAAATATTGTCCCTGTACCAAAGAAAGATGGTAAAGTCCGTATGTGTATTGACTACCGAGATCTCAATAGAGATAGTCTGAAGGATAATTTTCTTTTGCCACACATAGACATATTGGTGGATAACACTGCTAAAAATTCTTTGTTCTCATTTATGGATGGTTTCTCCGGTTACAATCAAATTAAAATGTACCTTGACGATATGGAAAAAACAACATTTTTCACCATATGGGGAACATTTTGCTATAGAGTAATGCCATTTGGGCTGAAGAATGCAGAAGCAACATATCAAAGGGCTATGGTAACATTATTTCACGATATGATGTATATAGAAATAGAAGTTTATGTCGATGATATGATTGTCAAAGCCAAGTCAGAGGATGAACATATCAAGAATTTGAGAAAGCTTTTCCAAAGATTAAGGAAATACCAGTTGAAGCTTAACCCAAATAAGTGTACATTTGGGGTGACATCTGGAAAGCTCTTGGGGTTTGTCATGAGCAAGAAAGGAATTGAAATAGATCCAGATAAAGTCAAAGCTATTCAAGATTTACCTTCCCCACAAAAACAAAAAGAGGTTCAAGGATTCTTGGGAAGATTGAATTATATAGCTTGATTCATCTCACAGTTAACTGAGAAATGTGATCCTATTTTTCGTCTCCTTCGCAAGAATAATTCTAGGGCATGGAGTGAAGATTGTCAGAAAACTTTTGAAGCAGTTAAGAGATATTTGTCAAATACCCCAATCTTAGTACCACCTATTCCAGGCAAAACCTTAATTCTTTATTTATCAGTTTGGGAAAATTCAATGGACTGTGTATTAGGACAACATGATCAAACTGAGAAAAAAGAGAGAGCAATTTACTATCTCAGCAAGAAGCTCACTGATAATGAAACCAAATACTCACCAATTGAAAAATTATGTTGTGCTTTGGTATAGGCCACTCGAAGGTTTAGGCAGTATATGTTATATCACACCACATGGCTCATATCCAGATTTGATCCTTTGAAGTATATGATGAATATACCTACATTATCTGGAAGGTTAGCTTGTTGGCAGATCTTGTTGTCAGAATTTGATATCCAGTATGTAAATCAAAAAGCAGTAAAAGGAAGTGCCATAGATGAATTTATTGCAAGTAGAGCTTCTCAAGAATATGAGTAAATTAGTTTTGATTTCCCAGATGAAGATTTAATGGCAATCTCAGTAGAAGAATCAACTACATCCACTAATGAATATTGGAATTTGAATTTTGATGGTGCTTCGAATACTTTAAGGCATGGAATTGGGGCAATCTTGGTTTCACCAAATGGAGAACATTATCCTTTTACTAGCTGACTCAATTTTGATTGCACAAATAATATGGCTGAATATGAGGCATGTGTTCTGGGTCTTAAAGCTGCCATTGAATGGAAGATAAAAATGCAATACATCAAATATAAGAAGTATCCTGAACAGGCAACCGAGAATGATAAAAGAACTATCAGAAGAATAACATCAGGGTATATACTCAATGGTGAAATACTATACAAAAAAAGCTCGGATAAAGTCTTATTGCGATGTGTGGACACCAAAGAGGCCAAAACAATTCTCGAAGAGGTGCATGAAGGAGTATGTGATACCCATGCCAATGGGCATACAATGGCTAGACAAATTATGAGATTTGGGTACTATTGGTATCAATTATGCCCGAAAATGTCATAAATGTCAAATTTATAGAGACAAAATGTATACCCCTCCTCATCCATTACACGTGATGACAGCTCCATGGCCATTCTCTATGTGGGGCATAGATGTTATTGGACAAATTTTCCCAAAAGTTTCAAATGGCCATCTCTTCATTTTGGTAGCAATAGACTATTTTACCAAATGGGTATAAGCGGCTTCTTATGCAAATATCACTCAGACTACAGTCTATAAATTCTTGAAAGAGGAAATCATTTGTCGATATGGTCTACCAGAAAGGATTATTTATGACAATGCTTTGAATTTAAACAACAAGATGATGAAATCAGTTTGTGAGCAATTCAAAATAAAACATCATAATTCCACTACTTATCGCCCAAAGATTAATGGAGTAGTTGAGGCAGCTAATAAGAATATCAAGAGGCTTATAGAGAAGATGTCTGAAACTTATAAGGATTGGCATGAGAAACTACCATTTGCTATGTTGGCTTATAGAACTTCAGTACGAACATCGATCGGGGCAACTCCGTTTTTGTTAGCTTATGGAATGGAAGCTATCCTACCTATTGAGGTAGAAATTCCTTCACTTCGATTTTTATCAGAGGTAAAACTAAATGAAGCAGAATGGGTACAAGCCAGATATGACCAGTTAAATTTGATTGAAGAAAAGAGACTGAAAGCTATTTGTCATGGTCAGATGTACCAAAAGCGGATGATACGAGCACATGATAAGAAAGTTCACCTCTGAGAATTTTACGAAGGAGATCTCGTACTTAGAAAGATCTTACATATTCAAAAGGATTCCCGAGAAAAATGGATGCCAAATTGGGAAAGACCTTATATTGTAAAGAAAGCCTTTTCTGGAGGAGCTCTAGTTCTCACTGAGATGGTCGGGCCAGAATTACCCCACCCAGTGAACTCTGATGTGGTTAAAAAGTATTTCGCTTAATTGAAAAAAGGAGGGTTCAAGATGAAAATCCGAAAAAGATATCTTGAAACCAAAAGAGGTCTCAAGTTGAAACCCGTAAAGGGCGGCTTGAGTGTTATAATTCAAGATTCATGTTTGAAATCTTGGATTCATTGTTAAGGATGCATAACATCCGGAGATTTGACAGTCAAGAAGATATTTTACATCCTTAGGTATTATCACGATTCTCGAAATCCTTTTGATAGAAGCTATACTTGAATCACTTTGCGGCATGCCAGTTAGAAGTATTTTTGCTATTGATATGTGAAGATGCCAACTACTTTTTTCTTGTACATTTTTCAATAAAACTTTTCCATTTAATTATTTAAAAACTCTTTACATTTGTATAAATAAAAATAGATTTTTCTTGTTAACTCTCATTTTTGCAAGCAATTTTCTTTGAAAATTTAAAATATGTAGTTTAACTTGAATTAGATAAAATCACGGTGTATTATTGTACAAAAAGTTTTTTTAAAATGCAGGTTTTCTAAAATTGATAATGATTTCAACTTTCAAGATTGTATAATGAAATTGATACATGGAAAATAAAATTTGAAGTACCTAGAAAGTTTCAATCGTATAAAGATGATCCAAAATATTTTTCACATATGGAATAGTTGATCATTGGTACTAGCGAGGTTCAAGAAGAAAGAAAAGACTATATCTGAGTAAAGATGAGATCAAGATATTCAGTTGAAGTAAATCGACCTTATTTGCTGTACCCAAAATGAAATGAGTCAGAAGATGGCCAATGAGAAAGAGTCCTTATTCGAAAAAGAAAATGCACTAAAATTGAATCATTGTATACATTTTAGGCATAAATAGGATCATGATTTTCATAAATGCATCATTTGTTGATATTTTAGGAAACATCATCCTTAGATAACCAGACGTCTTTATCACGAAGGAACCATGCTATCTCAAATATCTTTAAAGATGGCCAGACGTCCTCATCACGAATGAACAAAACTCCTCATCACGAAGAAACAACATCATCCTTAGATAACCAGATAT